AAAAAAAAAAAATCCTACAGAAATTTGTTAGCTTTAAATTCCCTTTTATAATGTGAAGTTGTAGGCACACAAGGACTAATTTTTTTTTTTAAAATAAATAATTCTTCATTTATTTATATAATAACTAATCTATTGACATCATTAATGACGCAAAAGTCATATCGCAATTAATAAATAAATTCTTTTCATCCCTCACTAGAATGGTCTTCCATAAAAAATATATATATATATATATATAAAATCAAAAATCAACAAGTGCATTTACTTATGTTATCCAGATATTATGTTAATATTCCGATATATACATTTTTTTTTTTTTTACAAACAAAATCATGAATTAAAATTTTTTAATTTTCTCTATTATCCTCAGATAAAAATAACCAATATTAATTCCCATGTATAATATGGGTGTTGAGTTAATGAATGTATGTGTAAAATTATTTGTCTAACACCAAACCTAACTCCAGAGCAAAAATAATATAAAAACAACGTCACGAAGTATAAATTTTCGCTATGTCAGTATCCCGAGCGTGATAATCTGTGACCTAGCTCAATACGTTTTGAATTATATATAGGGAAGAATTTCGAACAACCAAACAAACCCCACAAATTACGGCCAATAGAAAAAAAAAAATAGAAAAAAGAAAAATCTGCAGTCAATACCAAAAGAAGTAGAACAAAGGAAGAGAGCCATTGTCAAAGGTTTCTCTTCTCGTTTAAGTTTTTTCTCACACCCACCCATTAAAAAAGAAGAGAAAACTTTGAATGAGCTGAGAATCTCCATTAATTCCCATTGAATGGAATCGTAGGTATGATTTAAATACCGTTTATTCGTAATTCTTACTCCTTAAGCTTTTCATCTGGGCAAACCTTGTATGGTTTGAATTTCTAGGTGATTGTTTGATTGTCGGAGTTGAGGCTCTGTGTTCGTATACTTCATATTTTGATTAATACACGTTAATGGTGAATTTTTTGTTTGTTTGTCTGAGAAAATTATGCGAGTGATGATCCAATTGACCGCAAAATCGACACAGAGACGCTCGCTCGCCTGTGCTGCTTTTAGATTTTTTTTTTTTTTTTGGTGGTTGAATGATCGGTTTTTGTTTTGAATTTTTATTCGATTTCGATTTTCATGTGCATGTGCAATGAACTTTGGAGGATGATGAAATTTGATTATCTGCAGGCAATTGTATTGTATTTACAGTGTTTTGGCTCACAAATTGTACAGCAGATATCTGTTGTGTGTGTGCTAACACTGCAAATCCCCCCCCAGCTTTGAGAAATTTTGTGAAAAATATCTCCTTCTTCCGAAAATGGAGGTGGAAGAATGTATATTGTCGGACCAGGTGCGTGCCAATGGCCACACTACTACTGTGACTCTCTCTTCCGGTGGCCAATTGCAATGGGGCGATCGGCGGCTGGACATGGAGAAACAGGTGCTTGGTTTCTCTGTTGAGGGATTGAAGATCAATATCCGATCTGCTGTGGAGGCTCCGGCCGGAATCTGCTGCTGTAGTGGAAAATCCAGCTTGACCAGAAAGACCTTCACCCTCGAGCTACTATCGAATGATTCTGTTCGCATATGGAGTCAGAAAATGCAGGAATACCTAGATTCTCTTGGTAAATTTTTAGTTTTTCTCCATATGTTTCAAAAGTGAGCTCATTCACTATGGTTGATTACTTGATTATGATATTATATTAGATTTTTGTTGTAATATGATTAGAATATTTGCAGCTCCTGTTGCGTGAGCCTTTCACAGAATCTGTTTTGTTGTTTCATTTCATATTTGTATTTGCATGTTCAGCTAGGCCAAAGAGGCTTTTCATATTTGTTAACCCTTTTGGAGGGAAGAAATCAGCGTCGAAGATTTTCGTGAATGATGTGAAGCCTTTACTCGATGATGCCAATGTCGAGTACACTGTACAAGGTAGTGAATAGGCTGTGCTTCCTTTTTTTTTTTTTTTAAATCTCTGTTTTATATGGTTTTTTGCTCCTTGATATGTATTTCGGTACACTGTTATTTTCCACTATGTTATTTTCAGAAACTAAATACCGACTTCACGCTAAGGAAGTTGTTCAATCCCTGGATTTTTCGAAGTATGATGGAATTGTGTGCGTCAGTGGAGATGGAATTCTAGTTGAGGTATGTGGGTCCATCATTATCAGATTCTCACGAAATTTCTTGTGGAATGGTTGCAAACATTCTGGTGGCTGTTCTTTTCACAAAGTAATGAGTTTCTGATTGAACTGTTAGCTCATAGAAAGAGATGCCTACCTGGTTTATGGGCATTCCTTTTGGCGGAAGTGAAATTCGCTAGTAATTTCTGAATGGTATTAAGGCTATTGAACTAATTGTTATCTTATATTATATTATGGATCTTAGTAGGTGCTAAATGGACTGCTCACCCGGGAGGATTGGAGCAATGCAATACAAATACCTCTTGGAGTAGTACCTGCAGGTTCGACTCTGCTTTTTAGTTGTTTTATGTGAATTCGAACTAATATATCATAATTGAAGACACACACATGCACCTGTACCCTGTTTTGTGACCAATTATTTGAGTTGAAATGCTTATGTTTCTTGCTTTAGGAACTGGAAATGGAATGGTGAAGTCACTTTTAGATTCGTGTGGCGAGCCTTGTGCAGCTTCTAATGCTACTGTTTCTATTATACGAGGTATGCTTAAGTTCATATATAGATTTTTTTGATATTTTTATTTATTTATTTATTTTTGTTGTTGCTAGTTTTGTTTATATAATCATTTATTTATAATTAAGGAAATTCTCTCTTGTTGGTGTCTGACAGGGCATAAGTGTGCATTGGATGTAGCTACTATTTCGCAAGGGCCCACCAAATTTTTCAGCCTGTTAATGCTGGCATGGGGTATATGATTGTCCAGTTTATTCTAGCAGGGTTCTCAGAAGCTATTATCTTAGTTAACATGTTCTTTACTTAAATGAATGGATAAATTTTTGAACCAAATCATCTGAGTTTTTTCTTGCATCTGCTTTAGTGAGTTACTTTGATGTTGGATGCTTATTATTGAGGTTGCGCTGCAGGCCTTGTGGCTGATATTGATATTGAGTCCGAGAAATATAGGTGGATGGGAAGTGCTCGGTTAGATTTCTATGTGAGTTTCACAGTTGCTCGCTCTTTTTGATTCAATTTTCCCTCTGAATCATGTTTTAGCAGCCTTATTCTTCTACCTATATTAGCAAGGAACAATTATTTGTTGTAGTTGTTATCTGATTTTAAAGACTCCAGATCATTAAAATTTATACTTTGAGAAAGTTTATTTTTTTTACACTAACTATGCCATTATAATATTTTACCTAATGCTATATGCCACGTGAGTTTCTTAGTGAGTAATTTACGGTAAGGTTATATGCTTTTTGTGTTATTTGAGATGGAACTAACTTCTTAGTGTTATATTCTTCTTTGTCTGTTGATTTGGATCATCTCTTCGGAGTGTTCCTAAACTGTACTATGTTCTAATTGTGTTTGATTTAGTTTGTCGATAGTACAAAGTTAGTTACTACTAAGCCACTAGGAAAATCTGTGTTCCTCAACAGTAGGTTTAGCTATCTTCCTGCTATTTTCAGGCCCTTCAGCGAATATTCGGGCTTCGAAAATACAATGGCAGTATACTATTCGTCCCAGCACCTGGATTTGAATCTTTTGGAGAACCTTTGGACTTAGAGAAGCAAATAATTGTTGACAGGGAAAGTGGCATTAAAATCGATGATGGGCCCGCTAAGCCTCAGGAATGTGGTTATCAGGGTCCCAAATTCGATATAAAGATGTTAAACTGGCGAAAGATTGATGGGCCTTTTGTTTCAATATGGCTTCATAATGTGCCTTGGGGTGGTGAAGATACTATGGCGGCACCCGATGCTAAAGTTTGTCAGCTATCTACTTTTATTTTGGTTATTGTGTTATGAGTAGAAATTTATCTTTTTTCCCTTTTTCTCTTATTGGTCTGCAGTTTTCGGATGGTTATCTCGACTTGATAATGATCAAGGAGTGTCCCAAGTTATCCTTGCTTAAGATGATGACTGAGTTGAACAGTGGAGAACACGTCAAATTCCCATTTGTGTCTTACCTGAAGGTGTGTTCGTAATTTCCGATTAGTTACAAATATTAATAAATTTGTCGAATTCGGTATTGACATTGTGCATTTGCACATTAAGACTATGTTTGGTAAAACTAGCTGATAAGCTATCAACATAAGCTAGCTTATAGCTTATTGATTTTTGAGCTTATAGCTTATAGCTGAAAAGCTAACTTATATAATAAAAGGGTTTGGTAAAATTAGTTGATAAGCTAGTTGAAATAAAAATTTCAACGAGCTTATTTGAAAAGTTATTATGAGATAAGCTCGAGCCTTTTAAAAAACTCGTCCTACCAAACGAAGTTTATTTGAATATGAAACTTATAAGCTAACGAAGTAAGCTATAAGCTAGCTTATTGTCTATCAACATAGCCTATGTATAAATTTCGAGTTGCAAATGATGTTTAAACAAAGTACAGGTGAAGGCCTTTGTCTTGGAACCGGGCCCACGAATAATCGACACGGACAAGGAGGGAATTATAGATGTCGATGGTGAGGTTCTTGCCAGAGGTAAAAACACATACAAATGTGAAGAGAAGACACTAATGAGTTACGACAAATTACTCATTAAAGTGGATCAAGGGCTGGCTACATTATTTTCTCCGAAATAGCACGATGAGTTTGGTTTTTGCTTCTACAGGTTATGTGTACTCTTCTGCGTTTTACTTGCGAGACCCTTTTGAAGAATTTCGATGATATATGTGGCTTTTCTAATTTAAACACTTGTTTATATCTTTTGTTTGATCAAAAGTTGTTATCTTTACTCGAGTGCAGAGATTATTTACTTGAATGTCATACGAATGTGGAAAGAATAAGTGCTTGTTAGGAAAATGAATACATTTTCAAAATTGTGAGCGAGTTCAAAATAAGTTTTTAACCGCGGATCGACTCAGCCTGATGGGTCGACCCGAGATCAGGAGTTGGGATCCAAAAGATCCGGTCAAAACCTGGTCGACCCGGGTCATTGACATGGTTTTATCAATGGTTTTGCTTCCTGCCAGAAAATAAAATTCTGGCAGTCAAATTCCAATGAATACGAACCCACCAATTAAAAAATCTCCCAGCACAGTTAATTATTGTCCAAAAGAAACACTTAAAAGAATAATAACTTGCAATGGTCCTCCATTTGTGGTAAATTTTCCATTCTCTGTCATCAGTTATCACATACAAGAGACAATAAATAAAATAAAAAAATATATGCTGCTCCATCCTCTCCCAAAACCTTGTATCTAGCAAGAAAATTTCCATCAAAATCTCACCAAAAAAAAAAAGAAAAAAAAAGTAAAAACCGACTCATGGATTGTGACCCGTCTCCCGGACCGTTCAAGATTTACGTGGAGGATCCCGGGAA